TGGTAATTAGTGGAAGCGAGAAGACTCGGCATTACTTCTTGGGCAACATATATTATCACTTATTCTTTATTCAGATGCTACAACCCTAGACCATATGGGAAAATCTTCTGCATATCCTATATTTTTATCCCTTGGCAACATTCCCAACCATCAAAGGAATAAGCCGGAATCCAAGGCATTAGTCGGCTACTTTCCAATCTTGAAAGCCAAGGATGATAAAACGAAAAATTCGCCTGGTTTTCAAAAAGAACAAAGAGAAGCATTCCAGAAGTGTATATCGATTCTTCTCAAGCCCATTGCTGATGAACCAGAGATTCATTACATTATGCGTGGAAATATAATTACCTTCATCCCACGAATATCAACCATTATTGCCTATTTGGTTGAAGCCCAAAAGTTTACAAACGTTTATCAACCATCTTTCACCAGAAAACCATGCCCAAAATGCTTGGTATCAAGGGATAACTTGAATAATACTAATTTAACAAGTATGATTTCAAGAACTCCAAATACTATGAGGCAAGCGATATGTAGCGGTAATGATCTTGATTATTCAATTCATCCTGAAAATAATGCATTTTGGGATATAAGGTATGAAATTTTTTAATTTACTCGAAATAACGCCTGGGTTAGTTTAAAATTTTGGCCTAAATTAAGTGTAATTCGGCCAAAATTTTAAACTAAACCCGAGCGTTATTTCGAAACAATACAGTATTAAAAAAAAATATATTGTTATCAATAATAAAAATTTAGGAACTTCAATATATATGAAAGCATCATACCTGATCAAATGCACACCTTAGATCTTGGTCTCTTTAAGCATATGCTAAATTTTACTAAAGAGCTTATATTTGACCAATGTGCTTCAAACTTTCGAGCATCGATTCCTCGATATCATGGTCTTAAGATAATGAAGAACATATTAGACATGACACACATGATGGCTGATGAATTACGAAATTTAATGAAATAATAATTTTTGCTCTTGATAACCTGTATGAAGATTATAGAAGACCAGGAATTAATAATAAATGGTTATATCAAGTTTATTACAAATTCTTCAAATGTATATGGCTGTCTGTGAAGAATCGTTTACTTACGATTTTTGTAATCAGCTTCAGGTATAGAACAAATCATTATTTTTTGTAAATCTTTGATTACTAACAATTAATTTCATAGATCCTTATTATGGATTGGGCCAATGAATTTATTAAAATATTTTCAAATTATTCTTTTCTTCAATTTCCTAAGCTTCATATGTGGTGCTATCATATAGTACCTGCAATTTAAGAATATGGATCAATAAATAGTATGATCACAAAAACTTATGAAACTTTTTATAAGCGTTATGTAAAAGCACCTTATCATATGTCAAATAAAAAAGACTATATGAAACAAATATTAAGGACGTTAAGTTAAAAAATATAACAAATAATCATTATCTATCGTTAGGCACTGATTAAAAAAATTATATTTTAAATAATATCTTGTAATATATAGTACAACTAATAACTTAATTGCTAGATAATATATATTATCTAGCAATTAAGTTATTAGTTGTACTATATA